TGAATAGAATTCTAAATCTTCTGTAACTTTAGAAATGTCTTTACATTCACTTTTGATCAATTTAATGCATCCTTTAATTTAAGTTTTAATTTAAGTATTGAAATATTAAATTAAAAGTAAAGCATTAACTAATTAAAAAAATGAATAAATAAAACTTACTGGCCCCAAACCTTCGAGTTCATGTAGTACATTCAATTTAGTGTTCTACAAAATTGAAGTTATTTCTTTATTTCTTGTTTAATTGCTTAAATTGCTTACAGCCTAAGTGTAATTTAATTTAATAGAAAAGGCTTGTCAAAAATGCTGGTTCAAAAACAAAAACACTGAAGAAAAAGGAAAACAGGTTCTCTGCTGGGGTGGACCTTGACAGGAAATTAGAAAATAGGAAGTGGTTACTATCTCCACCCAACTACCAACTGTGAACATAACAACATCTTTCCCACAGACACACCCTTAAACACAACCCTGCTGCACTCGCACCGAAAACAGCACAAGCACCATAAACGTCTGACAGCAGAGACAAATATGAACGAATGCAAGCCATGAATACAATCTGGCTTACGAGTGATAATAAAATAGGCATTATGTGCATCTGTGCTTTTTGAAATAAATACAGATCTGGATGTCTGTTTCTCATGATGCTGAAAAGATCTTATTTCATCTCATGTGTGGGCTGTTATCACATTGGAGATGAAGATAAAGAGTTTGAGGCCCAAATAAATCATGCACTCACCAAACGAGAGCAGTGCCGACAAAATGAAGGCTTGACGCTGCTCGCCTCAGTAAACGTGTGAACAAAACCCATCTTACAGTTCTGTAAGGAGCTCGCCTTTGTGAAGTACTCAATCATCTCCTCTCGGCTAATTTTACAATCCCTGGGAGTGAAAATGAGAAAGAGAAAGATGGGACCTTCACTGTACTGTAGACTTTGACAAATGAGGAAAAATAATTACTCCAGATACACTGGACAGATGTCTTGATAAACCCACTGGTTTTGGTCCAGTTCATCAAACTTGCCAAGGTAAGGGAAATTCCTCCTGATGATCTCTAACTCTCCTTGGGAAATGTAGCCATCACCATCGGTGTCAAAATTTTGGAACACTGACTGAAAGTAAGACATCGTCCAATTAGTTCTCTTTCACCACAAGTTAATTTATTACATGCCTCTCTAATACTTGTCAAACTTCTGCAATATCACAGTGTTGATTATTGTTTGTTGTTCAGCTCAATGGCACGATTGTGAATATGATATTTCTTTTTAATTAGCTAGAGCATAATCAAGAAGTTGTTGCGTAACTTACATTTTTGACACATATTGGCAAATTATTTTTGCTTGCTCCAGTAATTAAAATATTCGCAAACAAAAAGCAGAATCAAGTGGTTTCATGTGTCCAAGTTACTTTCCTTTTTTGTTTTTGAAGAAATTGGTTGAGTGAAAGATTAAATGACTTGCTCATAAGGTAGGCCACTTGTTTACATTCTAAATGAATCAGGTTTGAAAATGGATTGGTTGAGTGAATGATTCAATGACTCACTCATAATGCAGCACATCTTATGGAGGACTGTTTACTGATCCTGGGAGAGTTGACTACAATGCCGGCTGTTCTGACTCACAGCCTGCAAGTACGTTTTCATTTAAAGGATTTGCCACTGATGATTCAAACGCGAGTTTTGGGCAGTGTAGAGTAGCACTTGTTGTTTGTCATTTCTCCGATCACAAATGCAGACAGTGTTTTATGTTTACGCGGCACGATGCAACGCAACGCGTAAAAAGACAGTATAAGTCATTATAATCAGTAATTATGTCCCCACTCAATAAAAAATTGACGCGTTTCAAAAAGGCGGGCTATAGAGGAGAAACAATGAAATTGACGCGTTTCAAAAAGGCGGGCTATAGAGGAGAAACAATGTACAGTATGTGGAAAATAATGTGTTTTTTTTACTTTAAACCGCATAAACACATTTCATTACAACAAATACGCAAAATAATGTTCTTTTTAGCAGCATCATATGACCCCTTTAATGACTCACTCATAAGGACAGTCACTTGTTTCATTCCTGATTCAATGAGTTTTTTCAAACGACTCAGTTGACTGAATGATTCAATGACTCAATCGATTTGTTCAAAAACACTGCTTCATTTTTTTTTAAATGAACAAATAGGTTAAGTGAACGATTTAATGACTCACTCATAAGGACAGTTGCTTGTTTCATTCCTGATTCAATGAGATTTTTTCAAACGAATCAGTTAACTGAATGATTCAATGACTCAATCGATTTGTTCAAAAACACTGCTTCATTTTTTTTTAAATGAACAAATAGGTTAAGTGAACGATTTAATGACTCACTCATAAGGACAGTTGCTTGTTTCATTCCTGATTCAATGAGATTTTTTCAAACGAATCAGTTAACTGAATGATTCAATGACTCAATCGATTTGTTCAAAAACACTGCTTCATTTTTTAAAAATGAATAAATAGGTTTAGTGTAAGATTTAATGACTCACTCATAAGGACAGTCACTTGTTTCATTCCTAATTCAATTATTTTTTTTCAAACAAATCAGTTGATCGAATGATTCAATGTCTCACTCATAAGGTCAGTCAATTGTTTAACTCCTGAATGAATAAGTGCATTTGAAAGCATCGATTGAGTGAATGATTCATTAACTAACTCATAAAGAAAGTCACTTGTTGCCACCTACTGGCGTAACAATGAAACCAACAGAAAGAGTCACAGAAAAATCCCCACCACTAAAACACAAACTGACAGTCTGTCTGGAACATGGAAACTGTATATCTAACTGTTGTTACTTCATTTTATCCCTTACATATTATCCCTAAAGTATACTATTTGCAACTATTTGTTTATTTGAAAACCAAATAATTATTCAGAAAAAAAGATAAATTAATTGAAAGTAGTGCGGGTCACATACCTCCACCATTTTTTCAATGTGTTTGTTGATGATGGCTGGATCCGCTTTAGGTTTGACTGAAGATGCCCACTGTTCTATTAGAGGAGACTGTGACTTTGAGCTGGAGGTCTAAGAGGCCAGAAATCAATGGCGTATTCACTTAGCAAGTGAAAATAAGGCACCAGCAGATATGGATAAATGACTGCTGTCCATTGGTTGAACAGAATAATTATAGAGTAGTGGTTCAGGCTCCCAGCTGCAAGTCTACTTAAGTGGATTATGCAGGCAACATGGGAAAATTAAGCTGTCAAATTGTGTCATGAGTGGTTGTAATTGGTGGTTTCTACCTCATGGTGGACACTGATTTGCTATTTGAGCAGTTATGTCATGTCGGTGGAGTGACTCACTGGTAGTCTAGTACTGCGAGGCTCCCTCTGTAGAGATAGCTGATATATCTCGTCCTCTGAGTGGTACTGGTCCAAAGACACCTGGACAGGAACAGAATAAATGTAAATCATGAACAATAATTGATAATTAACATGGATTTGATAAATCCAACCTCCATGTCACTCATTCAACTCAATCAAATACATGAAAATGCTTATATTTTAAAGGAATATTTTACAAAAAAATAAGACATTTTGTCATGATTTATAAATATATTTAATTAATATTTATTTATTTTCTTATAAAATTATACAAATATTTATAGAAATATTTAAATGAAATAAAATAAATAATTACATTTCAAATATATGTATTTTTTTTTTACTTTACTTTCTATTCATCAAAAAATCCCAACAAAAAAAATCAGCATATTCAAATGATTTCTGAAGGATCATGTGACACTGAAATAATGGCTGCTTGCAAATTCAGTTTTACCATTACAGGAATAAATTACATTTTAAAATATATTAAAATAGAAAACAGTTATAATATATATATATATATATATATATATATATATTTTTTTAATACATCAAACATGTCCCTTGCATAATAGACTCACTAAAAGCAGATTCAGCAGGTCTGAATTGGCTTCTATACTGGGTGGAGTGCTTTGAATGAGCGCCAGCTTTTCCAGGATGGCGTACAATTGATGGGTCTTGGTTAGGTTGACCCTAGTCTTCTCTGGGTCAAACCAATCAGGCAGGGCCACATGGACGGCAATCAGATCCTTCAAATGCACCCCAAGGATTGGGAAGCGGAATCCCGAACATTCTGAGAAACTCTGACGATAGCGACTGTAGTTCCCAGAGGAGGTGACCAACTCTACCAATCCATCAAACACCTGATTAAATGTAGAGAACATCGTTTAGGATCAAGCCCGGTGCAGCCCACATATGAGGAAAGGGGATTTTAACAGTAGGGGTACAAGATATTTCTGCTCATGTTTGGTTGCCTGATAACAGAGCACTTGACTTGAGTATTGATATTTCTGTGCAGAGAGTATGAAAATGGCACTCAGTCCACCTACTGAAAAGTGGACTTTAAGAATCTTATCTCTCATAGCCAGAGTTGGAGTGTTACAGCTGTTTGTTTTTCTTGCCAGTATTGGAGGTGTGTTTACAAAGCAGCTCTCTGGCAGTCCTCACCTTGCGCGTCTCACTGCCAATGAGCGCCTGCGTATCCTTGAGTCTAGCAATGGAGCTATTGCTGAGCCCACCCACTACAGCCATCAGTGTGTTGAAGTTCTGCAGCTGCAGTAGCCTCTGCACACACACACACGGTACAAAACTATAAGACCAGACCTTAAAGTAACCTTTAATAATTTTTATTATTTTATTTTTATCAGCATAATCACATCATAATTTAAGTGAAAATTGAAATGAAAAGTTATGACTTTTAGAATCAGCACTCATGCAAGAACATCTGACCTTTTACTTTTCTGTTCTTTGTATTAGTGACCAATGACCAAGAAGTAAAAAATAAAATAAAACATTTATATATATATATATATATA